CCCCCCCCCAATCTGGCACACCCTCAATCCCAGAGACAGTAGGTGTCCCCCCTCACCTGGCACGGTGGGGGCGGGGGTGGGGGCGGCGGCCCCGGCAGAGGGCGCGGTTGGGGCGGGGGTGGCGGCGGCGCCCGGCCCCTCGGGCGCCTTGTTCTCGGGCAGGGCGATGGAGATGAGCGAGAGCAGGCGCAGCAGCTTCTCGGTCAGCAGCGAGCTGCGCCGGATGACGGGGTGCGAGAGCATGTTCATGAGCTGGCCCAGCGGCGAGGCCTCCAGGCTGTAGGGGGAGCTCTCGCCCTCGGCGCCCGCGCTCACCGGCACCGACTTGACCGAGTTCTTGCCCTTGCGGCTCACGTTCATGTTGTCCAGTTTGACCAGCAAGTCCCAGAAGTCGGTGGAGATGCCGCTGGCCTGGCCCGGACTGCCCGACTGCCTGGCGCCCCGCTCCCCCTCGCAGGGCGTCTCCTTGGGCCGCTGCTGCGTGAAGTGGCTGGGGAACACCTGGGGAGAGGGGAGAGTCACAGCCTGGGGACGGCTGGTGTGGCGCTGAGATGCAGCTGCCTCTGGGGTGGGGGGCAGCTGGGAAACAGCCGCACATAACGCCACATGGGACTGATTGCCGGGAGAGAGCGATCAGCCCAGCCCCTCCCCCTGCACCCTCCCAATGCCCAGCCCCGCCAGGGGAGAGCGCCCCCGGCCCCCCCCCAGCGCCCAGCCCCTCCCCCTCACCTTGGCCAGCTGGATGAGGGTGTCCAGCACGTGGCGACACACCACGGGGGCGGCCTGTGGGTGGATGTGGACGGCGGCGCCGGCGGCGGTGCCGGCGGCGTGCTTCTCCGTGTGCTTGCGCCCGCCGGCCCGCTGGATCTGGAAGATGTTGGTGCGGCAGCCCAGGGCGGCGTCCATGGAGACGGAGAGCCAGGAGAGCTGGCCCGAGCTGCGAGCCTCCATCTTGTGCAGCAGCTCCAGGGGGCGGCCCTCGGGGGCCCCGGCCTTGGCGGCCCGCTTGCCCCGCTCGTCCGGCGGCCCCTTGGGCGTCTCCAGGCAGGGCTCGCTCTCGCTGCTGCGCTGCAGGATGGACAGCAGGCTGCGGATCACCCAGCCCCGCGTCTGGCCGTGGTAGCAGAGGTTGCGCAGCACCCGGTGCAGCCGGCTCGTGTTCAGCTTGGGCTCGTCCACGAAGAGCAGCACCAGCAGGCAGGACAGCGCCTCGTGGTCCAGCAGCAGCCGGCCCCGCAGCCGCAGGAGGCTGTCCACCGTGCTGCCCGACGGCCTGGGGGGGGGGAGGAGGCGGCTCAGACAGCGGGGCGAGGAGCCCGGGCGGCTACCGCCCCCCACACTGGAGCCCGGCGTGGAACCCAGAGTCCGGGCGGCCCCCACCCTGCTATAACCACCAGCCCCCACATACCTCACGGAGCCCAGCATGGAACCCAGGCATCCGGGCTGCTATCCCTGCCCCGCCGCTCTCAGCACCAGCCCCCACGTCCCTCCCGGAGCCTGGCATGGAACCCAGGCGTCCGGGCTGCTACCGCTCCCCCTCACTGGAACCACCAGCCCCCACTCCCCTCCCGGAGCCCGGCATGGAACCCAGGCGTCCGGGCTGCTACCGCCCCCCCTCACTGGAACCACCAGCCCCCACTCCCCTCCCAGAGCCCGGCGTGGAACCCAGGCGTCCTGCGTCTCCTCAGGAGATGAGACTTGAGCCTCGTAGCTAAGAGGTCCCCTCTCAGCTGTGCCCCCCCAGGGCAGTACCTGCTGTGGCTGCTGCTACCGCCCATGTGGAAGGTGCCCCCCCTCTGCACGGCCAGGCGCGTGTACTGGACCCCGCGGTTCCCGCTCAGCCGGCTGGTGAAGGCTGTGGGGAGAGGAGCGGAGACAGGAGTTGGGGGGCTGCAGACCAAGGTGTTGGATTGGGGGGTGCCAGGGGCCCTACCCGGGCTGCGCAGGATGGCCGACAGGGCCGAGGGGCTGGAGTGGGGTAGGGGGTGCAGGGGGGGCCGTACCCGGGCTGCGCAGGATGGCCGACAGGGCCGAGGTACTGGAGTGGGGGTAGGGGGTGCCGGGGGTGCGGTACCCGGGCTGCGCAGGATGGCCGACAGGGCCGAGGGGCTGGAGTGGGGGTAGGGGGTGCCGGGGGGGCCATACCCGGGCTGCGCAGGATGGCCGACAGGGCCGAGGTGCTGGAGTGCCCGAAGAGCCGCTCGTGCATGAGCTGGCGCTGCCGGGCCTCCTGCTCGCGGCGCAGGGCCTGGGCCTCGGCGGCGATGTCGGGGGGCATGACGGCCAGCACGCTGTCCTCCATGTCCTCCAGCACCGAGCGCCGCAGGTCCGAGGGCAGCGTCTGGATAAAGGTCACCGGGTCCATGGGCGTGTCCGAGCTGATGCCCTGCGCCAGCTCCCGCCGCTGCTGCTCCACCCGCTGCTGCGCCAGCACCTGGGGGGACAGGTTACTGCCGGGGGGAGCCCTGGCCCTGCCCAGACCACGCCCAGAGCCGTAGCCCCACCCACAGACCTGTAGCCCCGCCCACAGATCATGCCCAGAGCTGTAGCCCCACCCACATACCACCCACAGAGCCATAGCCCCACCCACAGAGCTAGCGCCTCACCCATGGGTCCGTAGCCCCGCCCATGTCCAGAGACCCCACCCATGGGGCCGTAGCCCCGTCCAGAGAGCCCACCCACAGACAAAGCCCCCAGAATTCTAGCCCCACCCATGCCCAGAGACCCCCCCCCCCCGCACAGGGAAATGGCCCCCAGCCCCGCCCACCCTGACACCTAGCCCCCACGCCCCAGACACCAAGCCTGGCTTTCATCCCACTGACCCCCACCTGAGACAGAGCTCTCTCTCCTCTCCCCCCAGGAGGAGCACTTACCTCCTCCTGGATGGCGGGGGGCAGGGCAGCCAGGAACTCGGGGCTGACCTCTGTCACCCCGGGGTTGCTCACCACGGGCGGGGTGGGGATGGTAGCGGTGGGGGGAGGCCGGGCTGGCGGCCGGATGCCCAGCTGGTTCTGCAGCACCTCACGCCGGATGTCGTCTGGCAGGGCCGCCAGGAAGGAAGGGTCCACACCCTCGGGGAGGTTTATCCCTGAAAGGAGATGGGGGTGTCAGCAAAAGATGCAGCCACCTCTGGGGCGGGGCAGCTGGGGAACAGCCGCACATAACACTGCACAGGGAAGGCTCGCCACACGCGGAAATGCAGCCACCTCTGGGGCAGGCTGTGCACCATGGGGTTGCAGCAGGAGAACGGACACAGCTGGGACTTGACGAGGATACCAGGATTCATCCCGACTCCATCGTTTGAATGCCCAGAAGGGATCAAGAGCCTGGCCCTGGCTGCCAGGGGAGAGCGCCCCCTGCTGAGGCCCCCGCCCACCCTTGGCAGCACAGCGCCCCCTACAGCCAAGCTAGAGCATCACAGCGACCCAAGCCCTCTGCAAAGAGGCCGGTCAGTCGCCCCCGGTACCTGCTAGCGGGTCCTCCTCTTCGCTGCTGGTGGAGGGCAGCGGCTCCTCCAGGATGCCCCGGGAGTCGGCTCCGGAGATGGCCACGGCCGAGTCCCTGGTAGAGGAGCTCTCGGAGGACGAAGCAGGGGGTGAGCTGGGGGGGATGGGAACCTGGAGGTGAGTGGGGGCCAGATCCCAGCCCCCTCCTTAGCGAGTCTCGCCCCAAGCCAGACCCCCACTCCCCTGCCTCACACCGACCCCCCCCCCCGCCGCACACCCTGCCCCATACCTGTCCTCCCCTTGCTGGCTGGCATCAGCCAGGCTGTCGCCGCCGGCCTGGCCCTCGGGGCGCTGCTGGGCTGGCTCAGCCCCGGGGGCACCGTGGGGAGGAGGCTGCTCCGCTCCGCCGGGCACGGCGCCCTCCCCAACGCCCTCCTCCAGGCTGCAGGAGGCCAGGCTGCTGGTGTCCATGGGCGAGCCCTCCAGCTGGCTGCTAACGGCCGTCAGGGCATCCGAGTCCTCTGCCCTCTCTGGGGACAGCGAGGCTGGGGAGAAACGGGGGGGGGGGGGGGGGGGGTCAGAGGATCCCAAAGGGGAAACTGAGGCAGATAGGGGAAGGATACCTTCCCAAGGTCAGCCAGTGACCCAGCCAGGCCAGAACCAGGAGTCCTGGATCCCAGCCCCCGCTCCCTGCTGTAACCCCTAGATCCCCCTCCCCTCTCAGAGCCTAGGAGAGAACCCAGGTGTCCTGGCTCCCAGCCCCCACTCCCTGCTGTAACCCCTAGATCCCCCTCCCCGAGCCTAGGACAGAACTCAGGCGTCCTGGCTCCCAGCCCCCCAATCTCCCCCACTTACTGATGGTGGGGGCAGGTGACAGCTCCATCTGGGTGGCCTCCGCATCGGCATCGGGCCTACCCGGCCCCGAGTCCTCTTGCTCGGCCGGCACCAGCAGCTGGCGCGAGGCCTCGGTGCTGGGCTGCCCGGCGAGCTCCGGGGGCAGCTCCCCACCCGCCGCTGCCGGCTGTGGGGTTTCCAGGGTGACCAGCGTCTGCTTGGGGCCGGCGGAGGGGCCCTCGGCAGCGGGCGGGGCGGCAGGGAAACCGTCAGTCCGGCCAGCCGCATCTGGGGCAGGGAGGGAGGGTGAGACGGGGCTTAGATGGGACACCCCACACCCAGGCCATGCCGGCCCCTCCCCGCCTTGATCCCTGCTCCCCTCCTGCCTAGCCTGAGCTAGGAGAGAACCCAGGAGTCCTGGCTTCCGGCCCACCAGGTTTCTCCTGCCGGTGAGGGCCCGGCGCTGGGGAAAGTAGTAAGTTGTATCGTTATCTCTGATTGGGGCACGAATCCCGACCCCACAACAATACAACGTACTACCTCATCCTGGCGGGGGCGGGGCCTTCACTGTGGGGGCCGGATCCACCCCCGGGGGCCTCCCGCTGCCCGCCATCCAACACCCACATGCTGGGGGGGCTGGATCCACCCCCGGGGGCCCCCCGCTGCCCCCCATCTCACACCCTCGCTGGGGGGGGCTGGATCCACCCCCGGGGGCCTCCCGTTGCCCCCTATCCGACACCCACACACTCACTGAGTGCTGGATCCACCCCCGGGACCCTCCCGCCATCCCACATCTCACACACATGCTGGGGGGGCTGGATGCACCCCCAGGGGCCCTCTCGCCGCCCCATATCTCACACACACGCGGCTCGGCAGGCTGCACAGACCGACAGAGACCCACGATTGTAGGAAAAGGCGGGACCCCCTGTGCTCCCACCATCAGCCCACACTCCCCTCCAAGAGCCATGAGAGAACCCAGGCATCCTGGGCCCCCATGCTCTATCCACTACACCCCATGCCCCCGCCTGCTCCCAGCGCCAGGGAGAGAACCCAGGGATCCTGGTGCCCAGCCCCCTCTGCTCTATCCGCTTGCCCCCCACTCCCCTCCCAGAGCCGGGAGAGAACCCAGGCGTCCTGGCTCCCAGCCCCCCCCCCCGAGCTGGGGCAGACGGCGGTTGCTGGCTCCTGCTCGCAGTGCTGAGGGTGACCCCGCGGGAAAGACAGTAGACTGTATAGTTATCTCCGAGACCGGGTGTGACCCTAAAACTATACAATCTACTACCTCATCCCCCAGGGCCTCGGGGCGCTGCTGGGCCCGGCCTGGGACGGAGGGGCAAGTGGGGGTAATGGGCGGGGCAGTTACCTGAGAGACTCTGCTCGGTGGCGGTGTTAGGTGTGGGCACCGCCCCCTGGAAAGCAAAAGAGGGACAGGATGGAGTTAGAAGGGGGCATGTGGCCTGGACCCCCTAGGGGGCGCCGGCTGGCTATGGGGGGTAGGAAATGGGGCATGGTGCCTGTCCCCTCTAGGGGGCGCTGGCTATGACCCAGCCCAGGGCAGGTGCAGGGAATGGGGCCCGGGGCCTGTCCCCTCTAGGGGGTGTCAGCTCCCACCCAGCCACAGGTTAGCTCTGCTCTCCAGCCATTGCTGTGGCTGTAATGAGTCTGTGGGGTCTGAGCCCTGTACCCCACCAGCCATGGGGGAAGGGCAGGGTTGGGGAGGGGTGTGGCCAGTTCTCCACTGGCCCTTTAAGCCTTCAAGGGCCAGGTGAGCGCAGTGGCAGCTCCCCACCTGGGCGCTCTGCTCCTTCCCGTCCTTTTCCTCCTTGGCTTTGTCCGTGGCTTTGGCCTCCTCCTCGGCCAGCTGCTTGCGGCGCTTCTCCCGGCGCTCCTCCAGCTCCTCGTCCCGCAGCGCCTCCAGGTGGTTAACGATGGGAACCTTCACCACTGCGGGGGGGAAGAGCCGGGGTTAGGGGGCTGGGCCGGCGAGGGGGCCGGGTGGGAGGGAGCGCTGCGAGGCTCACCTGAGACGCAGTCGTGCATGCTCTCCGCGTCCAGCACCTTGCACTCCTCGGTCCAGCGCGTCAGGGCGGTGGGGATGCTGGAGAGGGTCCCTGCGGAGGAAAGAGGCAGGGTAAGGAGGCTGGCTCAGAGCCGGCGACCCCCAAGGGCCAGGACCCCGGCCCCCCCGGCGCCCTCCGGCACTCGCCTGCCTGGCTGGTGGCCGTGCTCTGGTCGTGGAAGAAGTCGTCCAGCAGCTCGTCGTCGGAGCGGGCGATGATGTGGACGTCGTCGTTCCCCACCAGGAGGCGGGCGCGGCCCCGGCTCTGCAGCGGGAGGCTGCTGCTCAGCTGGAGGATGTCGGCTGCGGCCGAGGGACCCAGCAACCTGAGGGGAGGGGGTGCTGTTAGGGTACTTCCCGGGCGCCGAAATACGGCCACCTCTGGGGCGGAGCAGGTGGGGAACGGCCGCACATAACACCACTCAGGGAGGCTCGCCCAGCACCGAGAGGGGGCCAGGTCCGCAGCCGGGCGGGAGCGTCTCACCTCTGCAGGATGAGGGGGGGGTTGGGCTGCCGCGTGCCGGGGTAGTGCACGTGGATCGTGTGGCCGGTGTTGGCCGTCAGCTGGCGCAGCGTCCGCTGGCTCCGCCCGATGCCCTGGGCCAGGCGGGTGGTGGAGGAGCCGCTGCCGAGGGTCAGGGAGCCGTGGTCTGCGTGCCGCACCATGAGCGGGTGGGTGGCCGGGATGTTTCCTGGGGAGGGGGGAATATCCGCTGGGGGGGGGGGGGGGGGGAAGAGAGAGACAGGTTAGCAGCTCCCTGGGCTAGCCCTATCCAGGCTGGGCTAGCCCAGGGCCACAGAGACCCCTGGAGAGCAGCCCACGCCGCCCACTGGGGGGTGCCAAGGCACCATGGGGCTCAGGGGCAGGCAGGGATTGGCCGAGAACCTGGGGGCCCGGCCCCACCCAGCCCTGACCTCTGGAATTGAAAGCCTGGGGACCCCAGCGCTGAGCTGATCCCCCGCTCCCAGCCCTGCACTCCGGGCGCCCAGCGAGCCCCCCGCCCCCTTACTGGCGCTGGAGAACATGTTGTCGAACTCGATGATGAGGTCGTCCTCGCGGTCGAAGCGTTCGAAGCGCACCAGGGGCGAGGCGTTCATGTCGGGGTAATCCTCGTCCAGCTCCATCTCCGAGCCATCGTCGTCCTCCTCCTCCTCCTCCCCCTCCTCGCCTTCCTCGTCGTCCTGCCGGCGCACAGCCTGCTTACAGCCGGCCTCCAGAGACCCCGCCCCTCCCCCCCAGAGCCGGGAGAGGACCCAGGAGTCCTGGAGCCCAGCCC